GACCTGCTGGGCTCCGGTGATCCTTCCGCCTCAGCCTTCCAAGTAGCTGTAACTACAGGCGTGCACTACCATGCCCGGCTAATTTTTGACTTGTTGTAGAGATGAGGTCTCACCAAGTTGCCCAGGCGGGTCTTGAACCCGTGGACTCAGGCAATCTACTCACCTCAGCCTCCCAAAGCACTGGGATTATAGGCTGAGCCACTGAGCCCAGCTTGATTGTTCTTTCTGGCAACTGCTTAAGTACGTGGACCATTTGGAACTAAAAATAATCTAGGTTTTATCGCAGTTATCTGCTTTGCTAGAAGTGAGGAACAAAACTCTATTTTGTTTTAGTCTTTATTTTATTTTATTTTTTAATTTTTATTTTAAAGATGTGGGGTACAATTCAGGGTGAGGTATACAAATGTTCATTATGCAGGCACCCTTGTTGACAAGGTGTGCCCCTCCCTCCCCTGGCAGTTTCCCTCAACTACCAATCCTACCCCTCCTCCCTGGTAGTTTCTCACTACCCAATCCCTTTCTTACAGTTTTATGAGGTCTCAAGGTCTGCTTATGCTTGAGAACATATGGTACTCTGTTCTTGTTTCTGTGATAGATCACTGAGTATGATAGACTCTAAATCCATCCAAATTGTTGTGAAGTCCATATGTTTGTCCTTCTTTATGGCTCATAATATTCCCTTGTGTTAACCACATTTTTTTTATCCAGTCCAGTTTCTATGGTTGTTTTAATCTTTAAAGAATATTTCCAGGGGACAAAAAAAAGAAAAGATTATTTCCAAAACATGTTACAACTTTTTTTTCCTTTTTTTTTTTTTACAATACAGATTGTTCATTTATTCTACTCTATCCCTCTTCCTACCCATCTTTTTTTTTTTTTCAACTTCACATCAGGCCTTATTTTTATCAAGCACATCTCAGTAGTTGAAAATTTTACAAAACTTAAATCTAAATGAATGATAATATTATATTTATATTATGTTTGTACAGTTTGGGACTGAAAAAGACCAATTGAATCTAGCTTTGCAGACTGGGCAAGGTGGCTCAGCTATAATCCCAGCACTTTGGGAGGCTGAGACAAGAGGATTGCCTGAGCCCAGAAGTTCAAGACCAGTCTGGGCAACATGTTGAGACCTCATCTCTACAATAAATAATTTTAAAAATTAGCTGGGCATGGTGGTATGAGCCTATAGTCCCAGCTACTCAGGAAGCTGAGGTGGAAGGATCGCCTGAGCCCAGAGGTAGAGGCTGTGGTGAGCCATAATAGTGCTAATACACTCCAGCCTAAGTAACAGAGTGAGACTCCGACTAAAAAAACAAAAAAGCTTTGTAGAAGGAAAAACATTTTGGTAGTTTTATTAAAGAAATGCACACTATTGAAACACTCCTAGAAATGTTACATGGATTTAGTCTCATTTAATGCTAAGTATTGGTCTCTTCTGAATTCTTTCTTATGGTTTAGCTCTTTATATACTCCACACATTGACATTTTTGTGGACTTCCTGAACTTCTTGGACAACTTTTAATGTTGAAGTTATATTTAGACCTAAGGTTTAATATAAAATAAAATTGTAATATTTTTACAACTGAGTATGTATATTTTTTGTTATATATTGATAGTTGTCCCTTCTGGACAAATGTCAGAAGACCCTTATGAGAGCAATAAACAATACTAGATGGATCATAGTGAGACTTTTATGACTGTCAAGAATTTTTAAATTCAGAATCAGTGAATATTTACTGAATCCTTACTGTAAAGCATGTGTGTGAGTATTAGTTTGTGGAGAATAAAAACATGATCTCTGCTGTTTAGGAATTCACAGTCTCTTGGGAAGGACAATAAACAAGGAATTCATAGAAAACTACTTAGAGGGTATTGAGCAATAAATTTTTGTTTTGTTTTGTTTTTTGTTTGTGTTTTTTGAGTTGGCGTTTCACTCTGTCACCCAGGCTGGAGTGCTGTGGCACGCTATGGCCATCACAGCCTCGACCTGCTGGGTTCAGGTAATCCTTCTGCCTCAGCCTTCCAAGTAGCTGGAACTACAGGCATGCGCCACCATGCCTGGCTAAGTTTTTGATTTATTGTAGTGATGAGGTCTCGCCACGTTGTCCAGGCTGGTCTCGAACCTGTGGGCTCAGGCAGTCCTCTCACCTCGGCCTCCCAAAGTGCTGGGATTACAGGCATGAGCTACTGCACCCAACCCAACAATAACTTGTAAGGTGAAAGATTGAGTGCGCATATAGTTGAGGTCTGGTCTTCAAGTGATTTGTATCCAGAGACATCTTAGATAAGCATTATAAATAGTATCTCATTGTCCGTCTTTCTATAGTTACATATGCATAATTACTCAGTGTTTATATTTTTATTACTTTCTGTCACATGAAACAAATATTTAACTACTAACTTAAAAGGATAGTTAATTGAATGACTCTGTGCTACATATTTAGAAATATTTATGTAAATGTATTTTTAATGGTGTTCAACATATGTCTTTACTTTTTTTTTTTTTTTTTACTTGTAGAGATGAGGTCTTGCCAAGTCTGGGCTGGCCGTGAACCCATAGACTCAGGCATCCACTTGCCTCGGCCTCCCAAAGTGCTGAGATTTACAGGCTGAGCCACCGAAGCTGGCCTGTCTTTACTTTGAAATTATTCTTAAGTACTGTGACTTAAGTTTTTGATTGCTTAGCTTGTGTTACATCAGAATTTTGTGGTATAGAAAATTAAGTTTTTTGAAAAAAATCAAAGATGGTCTAATATGATGAGTTATTAGCAGAAACTTTGTAACCTGTTTATCGTTTTTCCTGATTTCTGACAATTTTGCTAATAATCTTGTGTTACAAAACAGTCAGACAATGCTAAACTACTCATTAGAGACTATTGAGAGTCATGTCACTTTAAAATTAATATAATTTCAAGATGATAATACTTTTCTTATTTACAATGGTTACCTGGTGAACAGTGATCAGCCCAGGGAAAGATATGGATACAACTTAAAGTCTTTTTTTCCCCCAGTTTATCCCTCACACATGGTCACTAGCTTTCCTCTGATCTAGATAGCTCTGGTTTCTTATGTCATGGGATCTAGTTGTTTTTTGTCTCTTCAGGAGTTGCTTACCATTTGTACAGATTTATGCTTGGTAGTTTTGGGAATTCTGTCAGCCATGTCTTATTTTTGTGGCACATCAAAGGTTAGTGTAGAGGGAGAGAAAGTAGTTCTGTTGGTTTGCAGTCTTATCTCGAACTGGCAGTCTTCTTCATTTAGGTTTTGACTTTGTATTTCTTTTTGAGAGAAGCCTTTCCTCAACTCCTCAAAATACTAATGTAAATGTATATTTATAATGGTGTTAAACATATAACTGTACTTTTGAAGTAGATTAAGTTTTCCTTATTATATATTTTCAGTGTCTGGTCTTTTCCTTTGCAGTATGTAGTGTACTTGTAGTTAATTGCTCATTGTCTGTTTTCTATTCTGTATCTTGATGAAATAAGAAATAAGATTTGTGAGGACTCAAGTCATACATATGTTGTCTTATTCACTCTTTAGCTCTGTCACAATATTTATGTGGTGAATTAATGAAGAAATGAATAAAAACTGCAAAGAAAATTTGAGACCACTTATCAAGAAGAAAAATTTTTCTTAAATGTGTTGTATTGGGACTTTTATTTATCACAATTCTCCTGAGTCTTCAAAACTTTATAATTTTTTAATAGGAAAATAATGATGTTCATTGTAGAAATTAGGAAATTAAAGAACAAAAGTAATCTCAGAAGTAACCACTGTTAATATTTTGTTATATTTAGTTTCTTTTTTTGGTGATATTGTTCTCTTGATTTAAAACTTTATGTTCTTAGATGAAGACTCAAGTCACTAACTTGGTTTATAAGGTCCAGTATGATATGCCGCTTCTTTGTCTCCATCCCCATCTTGTTCTTTCATCTTGTACTTTTCAGTTTCTCCTACTCTTGATAATTACATTTCCTCCCCTTTTTGCCCCAGCTCCTTATAATTCTTCAGATATCAGCTCAAAATCTGATATTTTTTCTCTGCCCTGTGCCAGAACTTTGTCTGCCATTCCCATTAGGCAGAGAGCTTTATGAGGGCAGGAATTATCTATTTGCTCTCAGTATCTGCCAGATGCATTAGAAACATAAAAGCGGGGGAGTGTCATTGAGGAATTAATCTTACTTGGGGGAGAGAGACCAGTGAGTATGTTGCAGTGTTTTGAAGTATATACAAAGTACTAGGGGGAAAAGTAATTCAGGTTTTGGCAAGGCATTTGGTGATTTAAGCTGAGTCTTGAAGGATTTTTAGAGGTTAACACGGTGGGTAAACACATTCAGGTTGCAGAAACAATACATACGAAGCATGGAAATAATAAAAAGAACAAGGCATGTTTTAGGGAGCAATATATATTTCAGTGTGGCTTCCTAATAAGGATATTTGGCAAATATGGGTTAAGGAGTGAAGACCAATGTTGGGAGATGAAATTTTACTGAAATGGTAAAGGGACTACACTGAGATCAGCTATTCAAGGCTTTAGTCTCAACCTGTTGTCTCGGCAAAATCCCAGAAGACTTCAAGGCAGGGATTGGCAATATTAAATAAGTGAAAATACTTTTTTAATTAGTAGAGTCAGGGAGACAAGAAGTTTTTAGGGAAAAAAAAATTTAGAACAAATGAGGTAAGCTTGGCTGAAGGGATAGTGTGTTGAGAAAAGTAAGGGATGCATCAGAAAGTAATTAAAAGAAAGAATTGACAGAAAAGATTACCTCTTGGATCTGGGTGGTGATAGGAGGATTCAGGATAACTCCCAAGTTCTTTATCATGAATTGGTTGTGATCTCCTAAATTCATTGATGTCAGAATGTAGGAGGAAGATTAGTTGAGGATTTAATTAATTTGTGTTAGATTTGTTGAGTTGGAATTATCTGTAATACATCCAGGTAGAACTGTCCAAGTAAGAAGTGGGAAATGAACTAGAGTGTAGAGGGAGTAGAAGACAAAAGATAACAGATTTCAGTACTACTTGAAGCAGTAGGGTATAATTCCAAATGCTTTAGGTCAAACAAACTGAAAACTTAAATGTAAGGAGAAAGGTAAATTAGTTGTACTTTATGGAATTCTGCATTTGAGTCTTTTTGTGAATTCTCTTACTATCTAAATAAAGCCAATTTTGTCTTCTTTATCAATGTTAGAGTCTTAAGGGAGTACAAATACCTGTCTCTAAAAAGTGTACTGGCAGTTTTGTGTAATTACTTCCTGAATGTTTGCACTTGCATAGGAAGTTTGAATTGATGCTATTTTGAATTGTAAAGTCTCACAGAACAGGGAATCTTTTTGCATGTATTACTATGCTATATACTAGTTGTTGCCACTACCTTTAAAATAATGTTTGGTTATTACTTAAGGAATGCCTTCAGTCAGTTATAGTTCCTTTTAGCTGAAGTTATATCAGGTTGATAAAAAAAATGGATTCTGCTTTTTATTGAAAGAATGAATTATTTCCATTCAACAGAGGTTCATTTCAATCTGAAGACAAGGTAGATTGAATATTTATTTGAGCTTATAGTGTAAAAGAATTACAATAAAAGGAATTATACTACTTTAGGTAAGAAAAATTTGATATTAAAGTTAAATTATAACAAGTATGAAGGCTAGTTAGAGTCATACAAATTTGAACCTGTAAATAATTATTCAGGTCATTTGTTTTCAGACTTCTTTGATTTCACAGACCACAAAAACATGTAATTTGGGAATTGATTTAGAGAAACTTTTTCATTTCAACCTGTAAGAACTTAAAAAAAGATTACTTCTTTGACCAGCATTTCATTTAAAAAAGATTTTTGAAACCAGATAGAGAAATAATAGTCCTTAAATTGAATTACATGTATAATGAATAAAGAATAAAAACCCACTCTAGTGCCCAACTTTCTCATTTTCTCATATTGCTGCATATCAGTTGATTACTGAAATGTAGATGAGTATTCGGTTACTTCTGATCTAGGTCGCAGAGCTAGTTAATAGTATAACTGAAACTAGGTCCCCTGTTTCCTGACTCCTGTGTCCCAGTTTCTACTATTTCAAGAGATTTTCAGTAATTTCAACATTGCTGTTTGATTTTTGACTTTGTAAAATATATTGGAGTTTAGTTGGGCCTGTGGTTAAAAATAAGAGTAGATTCCACAATTTTTCATGTCCTTCCCTGGGTTTTATCTACTTTGACTTATGCGGACCAAAAAAAAAAAAAAAAATGTGGTCCAAGCTTTCACTACCTTCTTTTTTTAAATTCACCTCCTGTTTATTATTCATGGGTCTTGAAATAGTTTATAAGAAGGCATATTGCAAAATTGTACAAATAACAGCAAAAAAAAAACCCCTCAGAATATGTGTGTGTGTATGTGTGTGTATATGAAAAATATGTTAGAAGGAAATCAGTATTTATTGATTTTTCTCCCAATGAACATTTTTCCGTGTTTTCATTTATTGTTTGTCTTATTGCATTCAAGTTTAATATTTTTCCTAATTTTGATAGACGTTAGGGGTTGATTGATTGTTTTGCCAGCAAGCTTTAGGCCTTTGTTCTAATAGGAAGTATGATTAAGTTCAAGAACTCATCCTAGTTCAAGAACTCATCCTAGAAAAAATGCTACATACCTCATTGCTGAATGCACACTATGCTCCCTTTGGGAAGGTATGATATGCATCAACGTCAGCCTCTAGTCCACCTCTCAAAGCAGTTTTGGAACTCTTTTTCAGAAATGGCTATCAGAGCTGTCATCACAAGGATGTCAGAGTTTGAATTACAGCAATGAACAGACATTAAATTTCTTGTTAAACTTGGCAAAAATGGAAGTGATATCAGAGACATGTTAGTTCAAGTTCATGGGAATAGTGCCACGAAGAAAGTGACAGTATACAAATGGATTAAATGTTTTTCATAGGAAACAGAAAGCGTCACTGATGAAGAGGGGTCAGTATGGCCAGTAATGAGCAGAACTGATGAAAACATTTCAAAAATTTGTTGAATTGCAGTCAAAATTGTCAACTGACTGTGAGAAGCACAGCAGACCAAATACTGATCGATGGAGAACACAGGAAAACCTTAAACGAAAATCTTGGAATGAGAAAGGGATGTGCAAAAATGATCCTGAAGGATCTCTTGCATCACAACAGTGCATCAGTTCACACAACACTGTCTGTGAGGGGGTTTCTAGCCAGTAAACAAATAGCTGTATTAGAATACCCTCCCTACTCACCTGATCTGACCCCCAATACTTCTTTTTTTACCCAAAGATAAAGGAAATACTGAAAGGAAGACATTTTGATGACATTCAGGTCATCAATGGTAATACAGCGACAGCTCTGATGACCTTTCCAGAAAAGGTTTCAAATTTTCTTTGACAGGTGAAGTAGGTGCTGGTATCAGTGCATGGCTTCCCAAGGGGAGTACTTTGAAGATGACTGTAGTGATATTCAGTGATGTGGTATGTAACACTTTTTCTAGGATGAGTTTGCGAACTTAATTGTCAGTCCTTATAGATTAAAAATTATATTTACTTCATTGCAGTTACAGTAGTAAACAATTTATGCTTAGTGTTTACAATAACCCTGCATAATAGATTTTACTTTTATTCTTCATGAGATTGAATCTTTTTTTGTTTTTTTGAGAAGGAGTCGTGTCATTGTGTTTACCCAGGCTGTTTTCTAACTTCTGGACTCAAAATGATTCTGCTGCCTTATCTTCCCTAGTAGCTGGCACTATAACATTCATTTTTGTATTTTTTATAACATATTGGTAGTATGTGAGGATACAGCCTCCAATGAAAAAAAGAACAGAAACACTTGGTAACAATTGCAGGTAATTGTGTTTTTAGAAAAGTGGTTTCCAGTGGCATTTTTAAGATCTATTGTCTTTGAGATCTTCGAGATCAATGTTACAATAGGACATTATGCCATCTCCTGAGATTGGTAATCTGGCACAGTTGGGTAAATTTTTACTGATAATTAAAAACTAAAAAAAACTATTGTGAATACGTTAAAAGTTGATGTTGAGATTTCTCTTATTATTCCTTGGGGATCATACTAGTTTTACTGAACTTATTTACTAATTTATTCTATATCTATAGGTCCCGTGTTCCCTGACTCTTGTGTCTCAGCTTCTTATACTATTCCAAGAGACCTTCAGTAATTTAAATATTCCTCTTTGATTTTTGGCTTTTTAAAATAATATTGTGGTTACAGCCATATGTACACATATATACTTATACATGTACGTGATTTGCTTATTTATGTGTATAATAATCCAGTAGTGTTTTGTAGCATGGTGTAAATTACTTTAAATTAATTATTTTTTAAATTTAAACTTTAGTTACAGCTCTTTTAAGGAAGCTTAAGCAGCAATCCAGGGAAAGTGTTGAAGAAAAACGACCTCGATTACTAAAAGCCCTGAAAGAGGTAGGCTTCGTTGCTGATTTTGTACCTCAAGAGTAATTGTAAGTGTAGTTTTTTTGTTTGTTTGTTTTTGAGTCAGAGTCTTATTCTGTCACCCAGGCTGGGGTGCAGTGGCACGATTATGGCTCACTGCAGCAGGCTAGCCTCCTGGCCTCAGGCGATCCTTCCCCTTCAGCCTCCCCAGTAGCTGGGACTAGCCCAGCTAATTTTTTTGATTTTTTTTTTTTTTTTTTGTAGAGGGGGGGTCTCACTATGTTGCCCAGGCTGATCTAGAATTCCTGGGCTCAAGAGATCCTCCTGCCTTGGCCTCCCAAAGTGCTGGAATTACAGGCATGAGTCACCACACCTGTTCATATAAGTGTTTTACGCATTTTTAATACAGTTTTATGCATTTTTTTCATATAGTTGAAATTCTCACTGATTATTAAGGGCCAAGACATGGTACAAATCATGCTTAAATTAAGCAGTGATTGAAATAACAAAATATTGTAATTGTGATGTGTAAAAATCATGCTTAAATTAAACAATGATTGAAATAACAAAATATTGTAATTGTGATGTGTAAATGTGATCTTAGTAGAAGCAACCATTTACTTTTAACTAGGAAGATAAAGATTTATTATTTTGAATAAATTAGATAAGAGTTCTAAGAAAAAAAGGATGTCAGTAATAATTAATGGCAATATCCCTTGACCTTTGAATTGGAAGATTCTCTAATACCAGAAGCCACTGCCGTTAGAAGGAGCAATTTGTATTTTTTTAATATAACAAAAACTCTTTTCCTGTGTCCTGCCTTCTTGTGGTAAGAGCTGGGTGTTCTAGTAAAGGAAGAGAGGTTTGTATTCTGTTGTTACCTTCTTTTTCTGTATTTCTTCTTTCTCTGTATTTCTGATGCGTGAAAGAACTGTGGGAGAAAGACAGGCCTATCATGATGATATGCTAATGCCTTCTCTTAGTGGTGCTGTGTTTTGAAATCTGAAGAATGAAAGGGCTAGAAAAATGCTTTAATCATGTTGCGGTGGTATCTACTATTAATGTTTACTTTTTTTTATTGTTTGGAATAGGAAAGACTAAGTTGTTGACGTTGCTATATTTGTAATGCTTTACTTATTATGTTCAGAATGTATATTTTTCTTTAGAATACTTGATTGTAATAGTTCCCTTAACAGTTACAGTCTTTGATGTCTAGTTTCTAATTTGTGAACTAAGATTTTTTCTCATATGTATCACATGATGGCATATTTTAGATTTAGTAAACTTATGTTATTCATTTTCAGAAACAATTTTTGATTACAGTAGGTTTTTTTTTAACATCATTATGGGACTATATAAATAATCATTTGGTGGTTATTTTTAATAACACTTGTAAAGTTAACTATATTTAAAATAATATCTGTTATTGTTATCTTTTATGCTGAGAAATGGAATATTTATTGATATAAATTTAAATGTCAATCAGTTTCAGATATATTTCTATGTGATTAAAATATTCTTGCAAATGTACAGTGGTACATATTTTCTTTTGTAGTTAAGTATAGTAATGTATGCTATCGTAATGTTTTATTTTAAGTAATAACCATATATTGGTTTTTGCTCTCTCAAATGCCAAACATTGAAAATAATTTTTTATTATTTCCTATTTCTGTCTATAGACCTTTGATGATGATAGTTTTTTTTTTTTTAAGCAAAATATTAAGCAGATGTATGAGCTACTATCTAGGGTGCATTTAGTAATTATTCACGTTTCATTTCTCAGCTAGGTGACTTTTATCTAGAACTTCACTGGGATTTTCAAAGCTGGGGTAAGAGTGTTATGTTTTTACTATAAAATATGTACGTATGCAGAAATGCAAGTGTAAAAATAACTGTTATCTAGAAATGTTAGCATAACTTGCTCGAAGGAAAAGTACTTTTTATGATATTGAATGTAATGGCTACAAGGCCTAGTAAACTGTATTTTCAGATATTGGAGGTTTTTTTTTGGTTGTTTACAAAAGTCTGGTTTAAAACTTTAAATAATTTAGCACAAATACTTTTTAGAAAAGATAAAATAATTATGGGACTATTGAACTACTTAATTTGTGGAAGTTTGAAATGCAGTATTTAGGTCTCTGAATGTGCAGAATTTAGTTAACATTATATGACTATGTATGTTTTGTCATCTTTCAATTATTTTGCCACTTGCATACTTCATAGCCATTATCTTAACATACTCTGTAGTTGCACACTGTCTCCAGTTATTTATGAAAGACCTTAATTTTGACCTAGATATTTTGCAGTCATATATTGATTTACCTTATTAAGGTAAGTTTTTCTTCTACCCATGAGTTCACTAGGGAGAAAACCTTTATGTTCAAACAGGAAGTTTTATTCTAGTGACCGTAATTTACTAACAAGTAACTAAATAACTGAATTTTTTTGGTTTTTGTTTTTGAGTCAGAGTCTCAAAAACATGCAGTGGCATGGTCATGGCCACTGCAGCCTCAACCTGCTGGGCTCCGGCAATCCTTCCACCTCAGCCTTCTAAGTAGCCGGAACTACAGGCATGCCTACCAGGCCCGGCTAATTTTTGATTTACTGTAGAGACAAGGTCTGACCAAGTTGCCCAGGCTGGCCTTGAACTCCCGGGCTCAGGCAGTCCTCTCGCCTTGGCCTCCCAAAGTACTGAGTTTACATGCTTAAGCCACTGCACCTGGCCTCCCCCCACCAAAAAAAAACGTATTTTGTAAAAGTTTGGTTATAGTGAGCTTGTGTGTGTATTTAAAAGTATCTAAGTTAATTGTTATGATAAAGAGATTTGAATGTTCAGTGATATTTATCTCCAAACTAATAATAAAAATAAATCAGATATTGACAAATATATAAAGTGCATTCTATTTTATATAATTTTTAGGAATTTTATATGTATATATGTGTATACGAACACAATATATTTTATATTGGACTGTTGCAAGTAGGTGTATATAGTTCCTACCAAATAAGTAAAAATATTAAGCATGATTAGAAAGAAATGAAATTTCACAGTTTTAGAGCTATGGTAGGTCAGTAAATACAACTTAATTTTGTTAACCTTTAATGAAGTTACTTACGATAATCTCAGAATGTACTTGGGTTGCAAATTCAGCTTCAACTTACTACTTAGAAAATAGAAGTTATACGCTACACCGTAAGGCAGTGAGGTGCCGGGCAGGTTACCAGATTTAAACTTTAATTAACAATTATACTTACTACTTTTTCTAATGCCTCTACATCTTCTGATTTCTTCTAAGAAAGTAAATTCAGCTGTAAATGTGAGGCCCATTAGCACTACTTCTCCCTACTGTATCAAAAATTAGTAGTTTTCTGTTGTCTTATAAAGACTCTGGATTCTTCTCAATTAGTAATACTTAATTTTTCTACAAATTGTAACTTTGAAAAACAGCCTTCTTTGGTTTTTTTTGCTTTTTCTTTTGTCAGAGTCTCACTCTGTCACCCAGGCTGGAGGACAGTGGCTTGCTCACGGCCACTGCAACCTCAACCTGCCAGGCTCAGGCAATCTTTCTGTCTCAGCCTTCCAAGTAGCTGGAACTACAGGCATGTGCCACCACACCCGGCTAATTTTTCTTGATTTATTGTAGAGACAAGGTCTCGCTAAGTTGCCCAGACTGGTCTTGAACCCATGGGCATAAGTGGTCCTCTCACCTTGGTTTCTCAAAGTGCTGGGATTGTAACCATGAGCCACCATGCCTGGCCTAAAACAGCCTTCTTTATTTGGAGTTTTTAGATACAAATCAGGCTTCTCCCCAAGCCTATGTAAATTGAAGGTTATAGATATTTTTAAACACTGATTTTATGACAGATATATTTCTTTTTAAAAAGCACCCCTTTTAGTAATCTTTGACTAATATAATTCATAATACTAGTGTTATTCTCAGACTTTACTAAGATGTTTAATCTAGTTTTTGATGGAATAATCAATATAAAAGTTTTTGAACATTATGGAAAATTATCAGGTATTTCTAAATTTCCTCATTACCACGTTCCAGGGATAACCAATGTTAGCATTTTATATGAATACTTTCAAATCTGGTTCACTGCTTACAAATGTGTGTGTGTGTGTGCACACGTATCTCTGTGTGTGTGTGCATATATATATTAGTATTGAATTTTTTCCCCATGAGATTGCACTAGTATATCATTATGAAAGTTGCCCTTTTTATTTAATACATCGTAGGCATCTTCCATATCAGTTCACATGGAAGTACTTCACTTGTTTTAACAGCTCTATGGTACTTTTAAGAGTGGATAATTATGGTTTTCCCAGTATGTTTAACCCTTAAATGTAGACTTTTAAATCCTTAATGTGGTCAATTATTTTTGCCTACATTGTTGCAATTCTAGCTCATCAGACGAGTTTTGGATCCATTAAAAAATTATTCATGGTCTTGTTCTAATAGTCCTATCTTGCCTTTATGCCTTACATATCATTCAGCAGTCCTGATGTCTTAGAACACAGAGAGAAAAACAGGTTTGTAGTAGCCTTGGATAATAAAAGAGCTACAAGTTAGATTGGTCTAAAACCTGAATACTATTTTTACCCCATTTTTTTCCCCATCTGGAGAGACTCCATTTCCACTTTGTAATCCTAAATTGGCCTGTCCCTTGAGTATGTTGACTCTTTAACTGATTCTCTTAGTGCTCGTTAGTGGTTTAAATCCTGAAATAGTCAGTTTATCTTGCTGAAAAAAGTTATAAAATATTTTTAAAGTGACATTTAAATTCTGGGAGAGAGAATGTAATCACTCCTGAAATTGTCAATATTATGTTGCTTAATCAAATTCTTGACATAACTACTGAGATACTTGTCCAAAGTATTCCTTCTTGAATAACTTGACTTTGAAGCAATGAAGTCAGTATATCTCTTTTGTTGGTAAAGAATTTTACCAATTTTTTTTTTTTTTGAGTTGGAGTCTCACTTGGTTGCCCAGACTGGAGTGCAGTGGCCGTTCCCGGCCACCGCAGCCTCGACGTGCTGGGCTCCCGCGATCCTTCCGCCTCAGCCTTCCGAGTAGCCGGAATTACAGGCGCACGCTACCACGCCCGGCTGATTTTTTGATTTATTGTAGAGATGAGGTCTCGCTTGCCCAGGCGGGTCTCGAACTCACGGGCTCAGGCAATCCACTCACCTCAGCCTTCCAAAGGTGCGGGATTACAGGCTGAGCCACCGAGCCCGGCTGAAATTTACCAATTTAAAGTCAAAAGTATTAGTACTTGATATTTAGATGGCATGTGCAATTCTAAAAACTAAACATTGGCTTTTATTAAGCCCAGACACATTGGATTAAAAAACACTTAGCTAATCTCCATTATTAAAATTGATGGTCATACTTTTTTTTAGAGTTTTGGCATGTTTCTTTCCCTTGTCAAAAACATAATATTTTTTTTAGAAGGCAAGCCAGAAGGAAGCCAGGACGTTTTACAGTCGGGGTAAGGTTATTTTCAGCACACGCTACACTTTTTTACGCTGTCTGTAGTGAGCCTTTGGAGAAAATAGCCTCCAACTTAGTTAATAGCAAGTCTAAAGGTAGCCTGGGGTTTTAGGTATATAAAATCTTTGAGTTGGAGTCACAAGTACTGGCTCCTAAGTATTTGATGTGGCAAATTACATGTCTTCCCTGGGCTCCAGTTTCTTCATTTCTTCATTCTGGGATAACAGTAGCTGTCCCATCTGTTGCAAACTTTCTTTTGATATGTATGAGATAAAGTTATTTTTTGGGGAAGCCCTTATGTATATTGTAAATTGTTTAATAATTTATAATATGGTGATCACTGCTTTAAATTCAGCATTACATGTGTAGTACATTTCAAATGAAAAACTTAATAGCTTATTTCTTGTTATCCACAGAATCTACCCATTCTGTATTTGGGACTCTTATTTGCATATTATAAATAAAAAACAATAGGCTTAGAAATTTCTTAAAATCAGGGAGAAACCAAAATTTAAATTTAAGAACTCTTTTCATTTTCAGTTTAGTAAGTTATACTACCTTTGGAGTACTGTGCTAGATTCAGATTATACTGAGATAACTTAGGAACTAGACAGGTTAATTGTTCAATTTACATAGGAGAGAAAAAAGTTATTACAGAATTGGGAAAATATAAATTGCTGTATTTTTTAATGTGCTAAAGTCTGTCAGAATGCTCTTTTTTGCTCAGTATTTTAAAAAATCTTTTTATTAGCTTTTGCTTCTCAATCTCCAGCTTGTTTTCGCTCTGCATTCTCATCTTTCCCTTTTCTGATTTTTGATAAATGGGTATTGGTATGTGATACTAATTTTCACTTTTGTAAGATCTTATAGCCACTTCATACAATGCAGTAAATTAAGTTGTAGAGCTGTCTACTTCTAATTGTCTTTGATTCATGCTGCATCAAATGCTTAAGGAAAAATTTCAGTTAATGAACATGAAGGAAGAGCTTTGATCTTTACCAGATTTACACTATTATTGCTATTCCAAACTTGTGCTTCAAAAAAGGTTTTGTCAGATTTCTTATGTTCTTTGATTAGGTAACCATTAGTTGATATTCCCACTGGGCAATAAACTTTTCTTACTTTTGTACAGTAAATTGTTTAGAAAACTGTCTTCAGTGCTGGAAGTCATTTTGAATTAAATAGTCTCTAACGTTCTAAAAGAAGCATTAATGCGTTAGGTGTTCACCTGTAATATTAATTAGAAAATACTGATGCTTCTGAAAAAGTTAAAAAATCTAGCCTTTAATTTTTGCTAAGATTTCTGTTTCTAACTTGGGTTAATTTATTACTTGTTTTTAAAAGACTGAATTTTGTAAGCATACATGTAGTATATCACAGATACACACATACTTATATATACCTCTACATATGATATGGTCTTAAGTTTCAGATATGATCTTAAGCATCACTTTTTTCTCATTTCTTTTTACATATACATTTTTGGGTTTCTTATAGCCTGTTAACGCAGGTTTATTCTTCCGTAGAATAACTCCTGCTTTCTTAAACATAGCAGACAATAAATAATAGAAAAATCAGAATATGGCTTATAATATGGTTATGAGTTATATATAGCACATTGGGATGTAGAAATTGTAGGTGTATGATTCCTATTTTACTGATTCTAAAACTGATGTACAGTGAGTAAATAACACTCAAATTTAACTGTCTCACTTGAAAAATATGCATATTACTTTCCTGCTATCTTAAATTATATTTAAAGAATCAGATAGGTTTCAGGTCCATCTGGTTACAAGTTCAGGAGGGTTTAGTCATCAATCCATAATATGTGTTATATACCCAAGAGTGGTTAACTTGACTCTGCCTTTCTTGAATGTGTTGTGGGTGGGGTGGGAGTATAAGGGAGGGGGTACCCAGAACAAAACGGAATTGTCTTTTGGAGGGCAGGCCCCTTGCAGTACACTTGGAATTTGTTGCTACAGATCAAACAGTCAGCCAAACTTTTTACCTGGCTTTGTGGAAGAAACATCCGGAGCTGTGGCAAACAGGTGACTGGTTCTTCCACCACAACACACCTTCCTACGTTGCGCTGAGTGTTTAGCAGTTTTTGAACAAAAATGGCACTACCCCTGTGCCCCAACCTTCCTATTCACCCCATCCCCCCTGAGCGACTTTTTGTTGCTTCCCTGGGTGAAAACAGTCCTCAAAGAGAAATATTTTGCTGATGTGGAAGAAGTGAAACAAAAAACAGCAGAAGCAACTATCAAGCCTCAAAATTGACAAGTTTAAACTGTTTTGAGCAATGGAAAAAACCATCTCAATAGGTGTTTTGCATCAAAGGGAGCGTACTTTGTAGGTGACTGAAGTTTAAACACATAAGAATAAATGCACAATTTTTAATAAATTAATTCCAGGTTGTTTTTTGCTCCCCTGGTAGAGTAAACTATACAGAAACTACTACATAGTAGATATTTAAAGTTGCCTCAAATTGCCTTATATATTATGTTTATTTTTAGATGGAAAAATATTGTTTCAAAGGAAATTATTGCCATTTATAGAATTAATTATGTCTACATTATTTTATTTTAAAAGTTTGCAAATGTCTCAGAATTTAGGTGGTGATTTTTTACCTTTTGTTTTGAAAAATACAGTGCCTTTACTTTCCCGAATTCTGCCTTCTGATGCATGTAAAATATACAAACAAGGTATCAATATCAGGTAAGGCATTTTGATTTCTTTTCTGAGTAAAAGATAATTGAGATTTAGAGGACGTTTGTTTTTTTCTGATCATAACTTGCTTGTGTTTTATAACTTTAAAATTCTGTAGTAGACTCAATATTTTATCTGATTTATTTGATTCTTAGGTTTAGGCAAAAATAATCTTTCTTTTAAAAAATTGTTTTACATTCTTATGACTTTTAAAAATAAATGCTGTGATGTAGTATAGGTAATAAAACCAAATATGCTTGAAACAAAGACATGAAAGTAACAGCCTGAGAGACAGTAATTGTGACAAAGGGGACACTAGTGTAACTTCACAAGTTACTCAGACCTGGGGTAGCTAAGGATGAAGGATGAAGGAGAAATATGGGAAGTTGTAAAACTTTCATTATCAAACAAAGCTTTCCAGATTAATGGAGAGGATAGCTTTTAGTATGTAGGCAAAGGTTTTTTGTCTAGATGAAAAGAATCTTATCTAAAGGAAAAACATTTGTTAACGTTAATTGCAATTTTCAATTTTAAATGTCATATGACAAGTTTTTGGCCAGGTGTGGTTGCAGTCTACTTTGGGAGGCTGAGGTGGGAAAATTATTTGAGGCCAGGAGTTCAGGACCAGCACAGGCAACATAGTGAGACCCTGTCTCTATAAAAAAGAAAACAAAAAAAAAAATTAGCTGGGCCTAGTGGCGCTTGCCTATAGTACTGGCTACTCTAAGGCTGAGGCAGGAAGATCTCTTGAGCCAGGGAGACTGAGGCTGTGGTAAGCTGTGGCTGCATCACGGCACTTCAGTCTGAGCAACAGCAAGACCCTGTCTCCATTTTTTAAAAATGTCATAAGACAGTTTTTTAATATCACTCCAAACAAAGCTGAATTTTAAACTATGTTCAAAGAAAAATCTTAAGTTTACTTTTATCTTACGGAAGCCATGTAATCATTTGAAATATCTTCTCTGGTATCAAAGAGAAGCTAATACTTCAGAAGAAAGACCAAAGTGTGAGTAACATTATTATTGAAAGTACTAATGAACATTTCCACTATTAATATAAACAATTTAGGGGTACTTTATAATCACGGATTGAAATGCAAACTTTGACTTATTTCAGACTTTTGTTTCCTGTCTCAAGGGAAGGTTTCATTTCCTTTTTTTCAGTGTTGTTTGGCATTTTTTAAGCTTTTCCTTTTCTTCTTTTCTTGAGTCAGTCTCACTGTGTTGCCCAGGCTAGAGGACAGTAGCACAGTCATGGCTACTGCAGCCTCTACTTACTAGGTTCAGGCCATCTTTCTGCCTCAGCCTTCCAAGTAGCTGGGACTACAGATGTTCGCCACCATGCATGGCTAATTTTTAAGTTTATTATAGAGATGAGGTCTTGCCATGTCGCACAGGTTGGTCTTGATCTCATGGGCTCAGGCAATCCTCTCATAATCCCAGTCTCTCAAAGTTCTGGGATTACAGGCGTGAGCCATCATGTCTGGCTCAAGCTTTTTCTTAAAAAGAACATTTTCATTGCAAATCTTTGCATTTGTATAAAGAATCTTTTGTTCTTTCTGGCTAATTATTTAGCAAAAATTAAAAATATTTAGGCCTATAAACTTAAAGCCAAAGACTAGTAATACTTCAAAATAACATCATGATAAATTATTTATGGAGCATATGTGATACAGCTTACTAGGTCATCTAATAATATGTTGGGGATATTGCAGAAAATGTAATAGGTAGTCTTTTTGCTGTAAATTATAGAAGCACAGATGAAATAAAAATTGACTGCATTAATTTATATAATTTGGAAGTTTCTATGACTGATTTTAGGTATTATTAGAACTGAAATCACAGAGGTCATCATATTAGCCATTTTTTCCTATATCTTTCTGTGCATCTCTTTTCTCATCTTTCTTGTCCCCATCCCTAGCAACCCATCACCAGCACTTTCACCAATGATGGGCAAAAAGGGAATGGAGGAAGAAGACTGTCTTAGCCTGTTTCTTCATATATATGAGGCATAGAGTTCCCTGTAAACTGAAGCTTGAAGCCTAAATAGTCTGCTTATATATAAAATTGTCTGTTCTTTTTTGGTATGATCAGGAGCACACATGTTATAGAGATAGGGGATGAGTCCCTTTTAGCGATATTATTTTCTCTTAGACCACGTGTTCAAGCAATGATAGGACTTGTTTGGTTGTATAGGGAGCAGGTCACTGGGGGTGGATTAGGAGCTAGAATTCAGCTATAAAATGATGGGCAAGCTTCAATTTTATAGGTGTTGGTGAGTTGCTTTTTTTTTGGACTTGATTTCATTTTGAGGGACATGAATATTTTATATGGCTTATATGGTTGTATACCTTATACATAGGGTAGCCCTACTTTCCTCTTTGCTCTGGTTTACCTCTGTTTTCCTGGTAAAATTATTAATCATATTTCTTTAATTTTTAAAAGTTATTAATTTTGATGATAAATTTTATGTAACCCACTTATTTTATTTATTTATTTTTTTGTGTTGGATTCTCCCTCTGTTACTCAGACTGGAGTGCAGTGGCCGCTCCCGGCCACCGCAGCCTCGACCTCCTGGCCTCCGGCGATCCTTCCGCCTCAGCCTTCCACGTAGTTGGAACTACAGGCACGCGCTACCACGCCAGGCTCATTTTTGATTTATTGTAGAGATGAGGTCTTGCCAAGTTGCCCAGGTGGGTCTCGAACCCACAGACTCAGGCAATCCACTCACCTCAGCCTTCCAAAGGCATGGGATTACAGGCTGAGCCACCAAGCCCGACTCCACTTATTTTTTTGATACAGCATGTATATTTCATTCTCAGCTTTTCCTGTTCGGGGAAACCAAGAATGCTGACTTACTTTCCCTTTTCTGTGTTGAGATCTGAAAAGCCTGCAAAGCAATGAATTCTTATAGTGCATTAGAAATTCAGTAGCCAGGGAGCCTTTAAGTCTCTCACAAAGACTTAAAGGGACTTCTTTGGGGTATGATTATCATTTCTTGACAGCTGGATCAAGCAGTTTTTTGGATTTAGGACCTTTTTTTTTTTTTTTTGTAGCCAGTCAGCTAGGGTGATCCTGATCCAGTGATCTATAAAACCTTGTGCAAGATTGAAGCACTTCAGGGTCCTTGTAAACTTTCCTATTTCAGTTGTTTCTCTGATTTCAGCAAATAGTGCTTTGTAGAATATTGTTTGAGACCAGCTCATTGGGCTAGTTTGCAATCCAAGTTGCTAGCGAACACAATAAATACTTAAGTATATGAATCCATGAGTATTTGATGCAGCATGATCCATAAGGTTTTCAGGCTGCAAGGATTGTTGGTTGGGAAGATAATGCTAGTCAGAATCTGGGAAGTTAAACAGAAAGACCAGGAATTTAGAGGAGGTTAAATGATTTCTCAAGTTGAAAGATAAAGCAAGGTTTGGTACCACATGGTTAGGCATAAGGCATGGATATAGATCAAAAGGACAGTTCTCTATCCAAGAATGCGATCCATCCATTGCTGCATTGGTCTAAATACTCTGCTGAGGTAGCAGCAGCATGGACACTAAGGGGTCGAAGGATGTTAGACAGGTATGCTTACCTTTTCTGCCCTTCTCTTTTGAAGTAACTTTTATTGAGTAAGGAAAATGGTAGGAAACAAGGGTACAGTAAGGGAAATGCTTCAACAGTAGGAAAACATTTTTTTTCTTTCTGGATTAATGAAGTACATATATATTCAGAAATGTGAAATATAGATAAAATGGAATACATATTTAAATATTCTTTTGTTTCTTAATAAATATTTTAAATTTAGCTTTTATATATAGACTTGACTTTGAAATATGGCATTAGCATCTTGGTTTGAGTTTAGAAGGAACAAAGCTTATTTAATTACTAATGAAGTTTTATTGAAATTTTGTCAGTTTCTCATCTACCCATATTTCACAGGCTTGACACAACTCTCATAGACTTTACTGACATGAAGTGCCAACGAGGGGATTTAAGCTTCATTTTCAATGGAGATGCAGCGCCCTCTGAATCTTTTGTAGTGTTAGACAATGAACAAAAAGTTTATCAACGAATACACCATGAGGTAAGCATGTTGTCTTATTAATACTCCTCTAAAAGATTTTTTAAAGTATATTTTTAGCCAAGCCTCAATATAATTGTTTTAAAAACTTAAGGTATAATTGAGATGGTTTATTCTTAAAACTTTCATTTCCTTACCTCTAACTTTATTTTTATTTTTAATATTTCTACCATCTGGTATCTATCTTGACCAATCCGTTGAGTCTGTTTGCTCATAAATCACTGGTTATCTCCTCGATCAGTGTGCTTCAACTCTCTTAGTTCTTATTTTGTTGAGCCTGTGCAGGCCCATTGCCATTTATTATCTTATTACCTTAGCTTCTTTGAGTTTTGCTGACCATCTTTACTGCCTTAATAGAAACACCTCTTTTGGCTATGTCTGCACTCTTGCTTTTTCTACCTCTTTGACTCCTTTTCTTGTCTCTATCCTTTCTCTCTTATAGTGCAATATTATTTTTCTTAAAGAGATGAGGTCTCACTGTGTTGCCCAGGCTAGAGTGCAGTGGCTGTTCGCAGGTGCAATCATTGTGCACTACAGCCTCAAAATCCTGGTCTTAAGCTGTCCTCCTGCCCAAGCTTCTGGAGTGGCTGGAGATACAGGCTTGTGCCACCACACTTGGCTATCAGATGTTTTTTTAAAATAACCAACAACACTCCTGTTTTTATTTGGTCTCTATTTTTCATCGTCTCATTTTCCCACACTGTCATTCACCACACCTTGGGCCCTTTCTTCAGTATATCCCTTAGATTACACCTTTCTACTGCCATATCTGTTGGCCAGATCTTAAGTTACCTTGTATATGTACTGTTGAAATAAATAGCTTCCTGACTGGCAATGAGCAATGAAGATTTAGATTGGAAAAGGAAGAAAAAAGAACAAAGGATATTTCTTGTGGAGAAAACAGAATGAGTCAAGTTCAAGAAGACAGAGTAAGAACAGTCTGTTTGGAAAATGAAAGGAAATCTGACTACAGTGAAGGTTTCTCTTATTGAGCATGAAAAAGTGTTTGTAGAAGGTTTTCAAAGTCAGAAAAGATGACTTAGGCTCTGTTGAGGTTTGTAACTGTCATTAATTTTTGAACAAGGTACTGGCTTGATCAAAAAAGTAATGCAAGATGAATTGGAAAAGAGAAAGATTTGAGGCAGGGAAATTATTTGAGGCGTTTTTACAGTTATCCAATTGAGAAGTGATGAGTATCTTGAATGATTCTCATTCAACATGATGAGGATACCAGGATATATAGTGAATGATTAAGAAAGGGAAGTTGTGACATACATTTCCAAGAATGAAATTGAAAGGTTTGCTAATAGTTTGAATATAATGAATGAATAGTTAAGATTTAAGGGTGAGTGTAGTGGTGCTAGCTTGAAGAGTGAATGATGGTGTCACCACCGATAGAATTAAGACATTTGGAAAAGGAAACAAATTTGGGGTCTTAGGTGATAATTCATTTTTAGTCCATTGCTCAAATCAGTGTACTTGTTTCAAACCCATCTGTGTTACACATCTCTTAAGTATTTGCTATTATTTGGTAACTCAGTCTTTTTAAATTTTTGTAGAGATGGAGTCTCGCTATGTTGTTCAGGCTGGTCAGGATCGCCTCAAGCGATCCTCCCACTCAGCCTCCCAAAGGACACAAGCTACCGCACCTGACCTAAGTTCTTTTAATGTTCATTTCCTTTTGATTTGACCTTAGCCTGTTGTTCTTTTCTCATTTTATTTTCCTTTTCTCCCCCTTCTGCTAACCTCTTAAACATAGATATGCCATTGATATAATTCTCATTTTTACAAATTGCCAGAATAATCCCTTTCATTCCCAAAGCTTTAACTACTTCCTATAGGTTGATGATTCACAGAAACATATTTGTATCCCAGACAGTTGTGAGTGGAGGTCTATCTGTTTAAATGACTTATGGATATCCTTTATGTCTCCCAAGAACCTCAAAATTCATCTTATTTAAGACTAGACGCATTATTATTTTCCCTCCAATCCTGCTTTTTCTCCTGTTTTTTCCTCTTTGTTCTCTGTTTAGTGAGAAACCTAGGAGTTATTTTTGTTAGCTTTTCTTGTACTCTAGTATCTAACATGTTCCTGGAGAACACGTCTGGTCATTTCTGTCTCCTTAATATCTTATAAATTATCCTTATTTAATTCAGAGTGTCACCACCATAAATAAGATATTCATTATTTCTCATTTGTGTACCTAACCCTGAATTGTAACCCACATCTTTTTTTTTTTTAATGATTAGAAAATATAGTTTATTTAAAAGTAAATTCCGGTGAGAAAGAAGATTTACCTCCCCAAGGTGGGGGAGGGGGCCAAAGCCAGGAAGCCTGGTGACAGCCATCCCTCAAAGAGCACGTGGCCACACCAGAGTCTAGCAAGGCAATAGCTTTCACTGCATCTTTCAAATAAAAGTTAAAGGTATTATTTTTCGACAGGATTATTGGAAAGTTTCATAAATGATCTTCCTGACTCCCTTCTTGTCTGCTTCTGTATTATCCCACATATTGGAGATATATTGGACTTTAAAAACAAATTTGTGAAACCTTCCTTACTTAAAGACACTTTAAGTTCCCTCTTACTCAAAGAGTGAAATCTGAATTCCGAAGTTTGGCATGGTTTTTTTTGATTTTGCTCACTTTTTCAGCCTTTTTCTCACCTTGCTATTTTAGACACTCTTGTACTGAACTCTGCAGTTTTTCAGATGTGCTGGGCAATTTAGGGTATTTCTTTGTTCATGTTGTTTCCATTTCCTGGCATGCTTTTCTTCTTTTACCCTTACACCTGTAGAACACTTGTTAGTGTCACTTTGTCCTCTGCCAAGTGACTGTTGTTTTCTTTATACTCCTACTAAATTTAGAACCATAGAGCTTCTAATGCTGTATTTATTTAAATGGCTTTTTTCCTCTGTTGGGCTAAGCTCCTCAAGGGCATGGGGTTCTTTTAGTTGTATCCTTTGGTAGCTAACACACCTAGAACGTACTAGGCCATAGTTTGGCAAACGCTATAAAGGGAGAGATGATCAGTATTGTGGATATTTAAATATATGTGTGGACCTTATGGTTTTTGTCACAAATACTTAACTCTACTGCTCACCTCCTCTTCTATACATGATTACTTACTATTCTGTCCCTGAAACAAGCACAAAGCTTTCCTTTTTTCTCATTAAAAAATAATTATTGCTAGTTTATTATATACAAGCACTAGGAAATTTGTAGAGGCTAAAACTTGACCAAGGCTACTTATTACATTTAGAAATCATGGATTAATATTTAATAGATTCCTTTTTGTAAGGACTGTAGAAAAAAATCTCTTCCCACCGTCTTTCTTTCTTTCCCATCCTATTTCCTTCATTCCCTCCCTTTCTTCCCTTCTTCCTTCCTTTCTTTCATTTAGAACCTATTAAGAAAGAAAGGCTCAAATGATAAGTGTGGGTCTGGATTAAAAAGAAGTAAAGTAAGATTTATCTACATTCAAATAAAAATACCGTTTATGTGGGCATTTGTCTCAGGTCTGTCAACTTCATTCTTGAAGTAGTTTTTAAAAATTGTTTCTTTCACCCATGCCAACTGTGGCATGTCTCAATTTCTTTTCTCCCTTCTTTCTAAAAAACTTTGTTTAAAAACTTAAAAAGAAAAAAAGAACATTGCTCTACAAACTATATCATTCTGTAATGGATAGTCTAGTATTATTTCTATTACGTTGCTATAACTGTAAAAGTACCATGTTTCATATATTCTGCTTTTATAGATTCATAATGTCATAGTTCTGACTTACTTAATAAGATATTAGATATGTGCTATTTATTGTTTTTAGAGTAAGTAGCATTTGACATTATTTAGAAACTGTCCTCATCTTTTGAAATCTATAACATTATAATTGTTGAGATTTTCATCTATAGCACTAATAACTTTTGAAAGACCTAGATTCTTACATTTAATTTTTGCCCCACCCTAGGAATCAGAGATGGAGACAGAAGAAGAGGTTGACATTTTAATGAGCAGCGATATTTACTCTGCAACTTTATCAACCAAATCAATTTCTTTCACACGTGCCCAAACAGGATGGCTTTTTCGGGAAGATAAAACAGTATGTGAAAATCTAGGTTTCTGAACTTTAAAAATTGTTTGGTATTTAGTGTTGTGAAAATAATGTGATAGAAATGCAGAAATAAGTAGCTTACTGAATTGTCTCCAAGTAGTTTATTTTTCTCTTCCTTGAATCTAGATAGAGAATTACAATGAGTGGTTGTAGAGTTAGAATGTATCCTTGGAGAAGCCTGGAGAGAAAGCTGAGTCTGTTTGATTCTTATGTTGGGAAGGATTTTTGTTGCTACTGCCTAGTTGTTATGTTGTTATATAGCGAACAGTATTTTCACATGATTTTATTGTATTTCAAATGCTTTATTTCATAAAAAGGTGACAGAGAGGGATACACTTTAACTCATGTCCCTGAATCTGTTTTTCTCCAAACTTTTTAGACTTCTAAATCATTTATTTATTTGTTTCTCAGCATTCAGTGCTTATTACTAAAATTAAATAAGGTTACATTTAATTAAATAAGATTGCATCTCAGTGGAAGTTTCCCTATTAGTGTGTTATAAATTCCCGTTGTTTCCATAATTTCTCATGGTATCTTTCATTAAGAGATTAGTAGAACTCGGCAACCATTTCGGGTCCCCTCCCACTGTGGGAGCTTTTCTCTTCTCTCAATAAATCCTGCTTTCAAAAAAAAAAGATTAGAAAAACTATTCAAAAATACATAAAAATTTTGAATGAGATGTTTGAAGTAGCAGTTTTATAAAATTTTAAATTCAAGAATACATAACCACATCAGGTAAGAGTCAAGTTTTACTGATATTAAAATGGTATTTATGTATTTATTTATTTTTTGAGTTGGAATCTTACTCTGTCGCCCAGGCTGGAGTGCAGTGACACACTCATGGCCACTGTAACCTCAACCTTCTGGGCTCAAGCGATCCTTCTGCCTCAGCCTTCCAAGTATCTGGAACTACAGGCATGTGCTACTGTGCCTGGCTTACTTTTTGATTTATTGTAGAGACAAGGTCTCACCAGGTTGCCCAGGCTGGTCTTGAATCCTTGTGTTCAGGCAGTCCTCTTGCCTTGGCCTCCCAAATTGCTGGGATTACAGGCTTGAGCCACCATGCCTGGCTGATAATTTATTTTTATTATACAAAGTAGAAGTGACTATATTCTCATTGGAAAAACAAAGAAAAATAGCCTTTTTAGTCAGTTTTGTGAGAAACAAAACTGATAGGGGATAGAGATAAGGAATGGGACCTGGGGCGATGAGAAAGAAGAAGAAAGTAAGGGAGAAAGCCGAAGGGAGAGGGAGAAATTAGTTTATTTTAAGGTGTGAAATCTAGAGCAGTCCAGCAGGGTGGAAATTCAGGGGAGAGTTGCTGTTGTTGTATTGAGTCAGAAATCTGCAGGCTGGAAACTCAGGGAGGGTTTCTATGTTGCACTTTTTGTTTTTTTTTTTGAGTTGGAGTCTCACTCTGTCACCCAGACTGGAGTGCAGTGGCTGCTCCCAGCCACCGCAGCCTCGATCTGCTGGGCTCCGGCGATCCTTCCGCCTCAGCCTTCCAAGTAGCTGGAACTACAGGCGCGCACTGCCACACCCGGCTGATTTTTGATTTGTTGTAGAGATGCGGTCTCACCAAGTTGCCCAGGCAGGTCTCGAACCCGCAGGCTCAGGCAATCCACTCACCTCGGCCTCCCAAAGCGCAGGATTACACGCTGAGCCACCAAGCCTGGCCCTATGTTGCACTTTTGAGGCAGAATTGTTTTTTCTTCTGGAACCTCAGTCTTTGCTCTCAAGGCCTTTGACTGATTGAATGAGGCCCACACACATTATGGAGGGGAATCTACTTTATTTAAAATGTACTGATTGTTAAAAATACCTTCACAGCAACATCTAGCCTGGTGCTTGACCAACACCTGGGCACCATACTTTAGCCCATAACACACAAAGTTAACCATTGTACAACTTTACACAGAGAGCTAAAATGTTCCTCTTGACCATTGCTCACGATCCCAGATTCCCTTGCAGAAAATTATTAGTTTGTATATGCTCTAGACCCTGTTTATGCTTTCCATATGTAAATATGTATGCATAGTAATATATAGCTTTTTGTTGTTGCTATGTATTCTTTTAAAGTGTCATGTAGTATCTATTGTTTTGCAACTGGGTTTTTTTCACTCTTTAGCATGTCTTAGAAACCTTCTCTTATTAGTATATCTAGTGCTACTTCATTCTTTTTAGCAACTGCATAATATTTTGTCCTATGGATATAATAACTTTTTTATCCAGTTTTATTTTTGGACATTTGAAGGAATAGATACATATTTGTATCCAGTTTTCTGCCATTGTGAATGATATATTTACATCCTCTTACATGCCTTTTCATTGTCTATTATAGGTAACAAGAAATTGAATAGCTGGATCATGGGGAATATACCTTTATAATTTTTATTGGTATAATAATTTATATTTAATAAATGCTTTTTTACTATAAGGTTTCAAAACTTGATAATTATCACATGATTATTTCTCAGTCACAGATAAATTCTGACTATGAGATCTAGGCTCACAGTTTTCCTCTCTAAGCCTATTTGGCAACAAATGGCATTGTAGGGTTCGCAGTTGTGAGATCCCGTGTTGCAATCCATTTGTTGGCTTTAAAGTCTTATTTGTTAATACTCTATTCTTCTGGACAGCATTAGATGGCTCACATCAAGAGAAGATAAAAATTGAAAAGTGCTACTACTAAGCAGCCCAAAGCTTTTGAACAGCATCTAGGTGATCTTCTTAAATTTTTGACAGGTAAGGAGGGAGTCAGTATTGCTTATGGTTCCCATTTTGTAGATAGAAACAGGTACAGAATGCTTTGCTTTCTGGTGATCCGTAAGGAGGCCACTGAAGCAAGGTAGACCTGGAAACAGTTCTACACGTAGTTTTGAAATGCTAGAAAACAGCAGCAGGGTGGAGACCAAGTGATTTGCATGCAGGTAGAAATGGGAAACTTGTTTTCAGTACAATATTGATAATTTTTATTTTTGAAGTAAGATATTTCAAATTCTGAACACCTGTGAGTTTGAAAAATGTGTAAGTCAATGTTGAAGAATTAGGAGACTTTATTGAAAGGTAGTAACTGCTTTTCTTGATGTCCTTTACGCCATTTAAGTTTACTAAAATAATTTTTTTTTTTTTTGAGTTGGAGTCTCACTCTGTCACCCAGGCTGGAATGCAGTGGCTGCTCCTGGCCACTGCAGCCTCGACCTGCTGGACTCCGGCGATCCTTCCACCTCAGCCTTCCAAGTAGCCAGAATTATAGGCACGCGCTACCACGCCCGGCTGTTTTTTTTTTTTTTTTTTTTTTTGTAGAGATGAGGTCTCGCCAAGTTAAAATAGTTAATTGTATTGGTGAGCAAGGGTACTCTCTTCTTTGTTGAGAATGCAAGCAACTGTAACTTGATCCTGTCAGATAGAAGAGAATGAACAGGTCATTAATTCTAGTTGTACTAGAGATTCTTATATGACTTGCACCCTTTGTTTGTTTTTCTTTCACTTTTTTTTCTATCTATGAAATGGGAACAGTGTTATCCCTGACCCCCTCCTTATTACTCATGATGTTTGACTGTCAGCTTAATACAATTTTCAGATAACTTTGTGCTATTTGGAAGTAGAATCTAAAGGAGTATTTTGTGGTATTTTTATTTAGATTTAATTCATTTGCAAGTTAACTATCATATATCTTTGTGTGTTTTTGGTTTTCCTTTACCAATTTGAAATGCATGGTTTTATGTATTTTTTTAACTTAATAGTGTATATAAGATAATTCAATAATTTTAAGTACCAAAGGAATATTTATTTTCACCTACATGTTACATGTTTATGGAAAAATGTATTGTTATCTTTTTAAAATCTAAAAATCTTACTTTAAGTTTTATTATTTTGAAATATTTTATTTTGTTTTAGGAAAGAGTAGGAAACTTTTTGGCAGACTTTTATCTGGTGAATGGACTTGTTTTAGAATCAAGGAAAAGAAGAGAACATCTCAGTGAAGAGGATATTCTTCGAAATAAGGCCATCATGGAGAGTTTGAGTAAAGGTGGAAACATAATGGAACAGAATTTTGAGGTATAATTTTTACTTTTTCTAATTTGTAGTTTTTCTACGAAGAGAGTGGATAGACTTCATTCTTGGTGGCATTCGTGCGTCTTAGTGAGTGCTAGATTTTGTGTACACTGTGATTTCGAGTTATAAAAAGAACTCTAAAGTTCTTGATGGATATTTAAATTCAACTTTTATGTAGTTTTAAAAGTTTACATATGTAAACTTTTAAGGCCATATAAATATACTCACAGCTTTTGACCACTTTTTATTTTTTGGTTTTTTCGTTTTGATTTTTTCTCCTTCTGTCACCCAGACTGGAGTGTAGTGGTGTGATCATGGCTCACAGCAGCCTTACTCAGGCAGTCCTCTAGCCTCAGCCTCTGGAGTAGCTGGACTGCATGCGTGTGCCACTATACCTTGCTTATTTTTATTATTTTTTTGTAGAGATGAGGTCTCACTGTGTTATCCAGGCTGGTCTCCAACTCCTAGCTTCATGCAGTTCTCCTGCTTCTGCCTCCCAAGGTGCTGGGATTACAGGTGTGAGCACCGTGCCTGGCCTCCTTTTTAAAAATTAGTATCAAAATTAAAATGATAGAGAAAAACCATAGCCTATTACACATAAAATGGGACATTACTACTTCATGAAACAATAGTTTCAAAGGTGTATGTTTCATATAAACATGCATCTGTGTGAGTGCTGGATTTTAGTGTAAACTGTGAGTTAGAGTTATAAAAAGAACTTTAAATTTCTTGGTGAATGTTTACATTTAACTTGTCAGTTTCTACAAAAGATAAAAAACTTGGTGATATTTTAATCAGGATGGTGTTGAATCTATAGATAAATCCATTTCTACGTAAAAGCCTGCTTTTTTAAAAATTAAACTTTATATTTGAAATAATTATAAATTCATGTACAGTTACAAGAAATAGTACAAAGAGATTTTACGTGTGGCTCACCCAGTTTCCCCCAGTGGTAGCATCTTGCCAAACTGTAGTACAATGTCACAACCAGGATATTCACATTTATAATCAAGACACAGAACATTTCTGTCACCACAGGACCCTTCACATTCCTCTTTCATAGACCTGTCTGCTGTGCCTTCATCCCTCTCCAGCCTGTATCCCTAGCAAACATTAATTTGTTGCTTCACTTCTTTCATGTTATTATTTTAAGAATATTCTGTAATTGGAATCATATAGTACATAACCTTTTGTAGTTGACTTTTCCCATTTAGCCTAATTCCCTCTGAGGATTTATCCAAGTTGTGTGTATCAGTAGTTTGTTCCTTCCATTGCTGAGTAGTATTTCGCAGTATCTCACAGCTTAACAATTTACCTTTTGAAGAACATCCAGGTTGCTTTTCAGTCTTGAACTATTATGAGTTATGCTGCAATAACCATTCCCCTATAGATTTTTTGGGTGAATGTAACATGTCTTCATTTTTTTGGGATAAGTGCCCAAGAGTGCAGTTGCTATGTCATATGATAGTTGAATGTTTAGATTTACAAGGGATTGCCAAGTTGTTTTCCATTTTCTGTCCCTGCCAGCAGTATGTGACTGATCAGACTTTTCTGCATCCTTGCCAGCCTTTGGTATTGTCATTATTTTCTATCTTATCCTTTGTGATAGTATATGATGGTATCTCATTGTGACTTTAACTGTATTTTTCTGATGGCTGATGATACTGAATGGTCTTCTTTTCATGTACCATCTGTATATTCTCTGCAGTAGCCTATCTCTTCATGTTTTTTGCTCTTTTTCTAATTGCATTTTTTAATACTATTGAGTTTTTAAATTTCAGTATACTGGATGCTAGTTCTTTGCCAAATATGTATTTTGCAGATATTTTCCACTCTTTAGCTTGTCTTTTCTTCTTCTTGAACTGGTCTTTTGGAGAGAAAGAGTTTATCATTTTGATGAGATCCAATTAATCAATTTTTGTTTCACGTCTCATACCAAGTCTAAGAAATCTTTGCCTAGCTCCAGGTTCCTAAGACTTTCTATTTTTTTCTAAGAGTTTTATACCTTTATATTTTATATTTAAGAACTTTATTGAAAATATGATAATTTTTTTTTCCATGTAAAGATGGATAATGTGCTGACCCTATAACAAGGTTTGAGGGAAGCACATCTTGCCCATGTGCGTGAAACCCATTCATCAAATTCAGAACTGCAAGGTGTGAGGTCTGAGTCAAGGTGTTTTTTGTTGTTGTTGTTGTTGGGTTTTTTTGCCTTGAATGTCTAGTTGTTCCAACGTAATTTTTTGAAATGGTTGTCCCTCTTCCATTATATTAACTGCTGGGATTTTTGTTGGGATGATACTGAATCCATAGATCAGTTTGGGGAGAATTTGAATGTTAACAATACTGATTCTTCTATTTGAAGAACCTATATCTCCCCATTTATCTAGGTTTTCTATAATTTCTTTTGGAAGTATTTTTTAGTTTTCATTGTACAAGTTTTACATGTATCTTGTTAATTTTACCTCTTTCATGTTTTTTGATGCTATTGTTTTTGAATTTCTTTTCCAGTTGTTCATTAATGATATATGGAAATATATATGATTTTTATGTTGCTACATTTATATGTTAGTTCAGTAGTATTCTGTAGATTCCTTAGGATCTTCTACTAATGCTCGTGTTGCCATATTGATGTTTTTACTTTTTCCTTGCCAATCCCTATTTCTTGTGTTTTTCTTGCCTTATTGTACTAGGAAATAACACCAGTAGAATAGTAAATAAAAATGGTAAGATCAGGTACACAATATAAAAAGTCCATAATTTTAGAAGAGACTTTTTATATTAGTGTTAATTTTTAAATTTTTTTAATTTTTTATTTATTTTTAAGGGACAAGGTCTTGCTCTGTCACCCAGGCTGGAGGGCAGTGGAGCAGTCACAGGTCAAACTTCTGGGCTCAAGCTATCCTCCTGCCTCAGCCACCCAAATAGCTAGGGTTACAGGTATGCACCACCATACCTGGCTAATTAGAATAAAGTTTAAATATTTTTTAAAGATGGGGTCTTGCTTTGTTGCCCAGGCTGGTCTCAAACTTCTGAGTTCAAGCGATCTTCCCACCTTGGCCTCCCAAAGTGCTGGGATTACAGATATGAGCCACTGCGCCTCGCCTGGACTAGTGTTAATTTTTAAAATATCATCACATCATTTTTCAACCTGACTAAAGTAACTTATTGAGAAATACTAAGAGCTATGATTGTGTTGTTTTTTGGCTCTGTAATTTTTTTTAGATCATATTTTTAATTGTTTTAGAAAAAAGAAAATGTGTGTCTCTACATATTGCTTGGAATTTTTATAGAAAAGAATTAAAGAATTACATTTTAGAATCTTTTTTTTTTTTTTTTTTATTCTGGGGTCTCACTCCAGGATGTAATGTCATGGTTCATGGTAGCCGCGACTTCCTGGGTTCAGTCAATCCTTCTGCCTCACCCTCTTGAATAGCTGGGACTACAGGAGCATGCCACCATGCCTGACTAATATTTTTATTTTTGTTTTTTTGTACAAGTGAGGTGTTACTTTGTTGCTCAGGGTGGTCTTGAACTCTTGACTTCAAGTGATTTTCCTGCCTCGGCTTCCCAATGTGCTGGGATTATAGGTGTGAGCCACTGTGCCTGGCTGCATTTGAGGATCTTTTTGGAGCTCAATTATAAATCTTTAGACGGAATTTTTTTAAAAACAGGAATTCTGTCAGATGTTCATCAAAACATATAATTTGATTTGGTTGAATCAGGTAAGGTACAGCATAAAATAACAACAAAATAGAATTTGATAAGTCTAATTATAAAAAAGATACCAATAATTGTGTTTTTTTCTCTTAGACACAGAATTTGTTACACATGGAAAGCAGCATGGGATTGATATCAGTTTATATATATTCAACAGTCAACAGTGGACATTAAAGGAAAAAAAGAAATAATTGTATGCATTTTGTTGATAATTTTAGGAGTTCCTTTAAGCATACATACACTTTTCAGGAAAAGTAGATACAAGTTTAACCCTATTCTTTAATGCAAAGTTAAACAATAGGAAGTCAGAGGAAAGACCTCTGAATTTAAGAGCCATTTCTATTTTAATGGTGAAATGGATTTAAAATTTAGGTTTAAAAGACATTATAAATCAATATTTAAAATTAATGGTGTCTAGATCACAGCTAGCAATGTAAAAAGAAAACAGGTGTGGAAACACATACGAGTGGGGAGCCCCAAAATACCACCATTATCTTTTGGATGGCAGATCACTTGTAGTCCTGGCTTGCCCTACTAGGTAAGTGTCCTAGGATCTGACTGGCATCAGTAACAGCAGGCATTGTTGTAAGAGACTGCATTTGGCTTAAGTGAATTTTTTCTTTGGAGATTCTTTCAGTACATTTGCCCATTTCATGATGGGTGATCTACTAGCACACCTGGCAACACCGTGTTGAGTGTTCAGCAATTTTTGACCAAAAACATCCCGGCCTCTCGTGCCTCACCCTCGCTATTCGCCCGATCTTACCCCAAGCAACTTTTTGTTGTTTTCCTGCATGAAAAGACCCACAAAGAGAAATATTTTTGCCCATGTAGAACAGTTTTTGAGCAATGGAAAAGGCTCTTGATAAGTATATTGCATCATATGGAGAGTACATTGAAGGTGACTGAAGTGTAAACATGTTTTTTTGTTTCAGTTGTTTGGGTGGAAATGGACTCTTGCTATGTTGCCAGGCTGGCCCGGAAATCCTGGCCTCTAGCTATCCTCCCACCTCAGCCCTCCAAAGCACTGGGTTTAACTTTCGAATGTTATTTGTCAAGTAAATTGCCTTTGTAATTGAAATGCTATCAAGCATTCCTCTTTTAATTAAATGTAAAGCCTCTGACAACTGTTTTCCTTAAAGTATACAGGAAATACTTAATTCCTAGGTTTACTATCATTCTAATATTTCATATAGCAAAGGTTTCTGAAATTTTAAGATACTTCATGTGCTTTATATTTATGTATTTCTATATATTATATATTATGTATTTCTATTAATAATTAGATTTAATGACACATGCCTGTAGTCCTAGCTACTAGGGAGGCTGAGGCGGGAGGATTGCCTGAACCCAGGAGGTTGAGGCTGTAGTGACCCATGCCACTGAACTCCAGCCTGGGTGACAGAGTGAGACCCAGCTCAAATAATAATAATGTTGAAGCTCTAAAGCCCAAGATATATTTTTACTACTATGTAAGTTTTAAAAGACATTATATGTATTATGATTTATATAGTTTTTTATTTACCAACAGCATCTTCCCAGAATTGTTTCTTAAGGATTTCCTCACTCTTTCCCATCTTCAGCTTATTAATATTTTGAAAGAATTGCTAAAACATGTTAAACACTTGGATATGTAGAAAGAAAAGACCATAACAAAGGCAGACTAAGAAGCAGAATACTTAGAGCAAGAACAGGCTCCTAAAATAAAAGTCCATCTTTGCTATACTAGCTTTGTGACTTCAAATTAATTTCTTTAAACGTCAATTTCCTTTCTATAAAAAGGGCAACAAATTCATAGTTTTAGGTCATTATAATAATTAATGAGATAATATGTGGAAAGTCCTTAACACAAAGCCCATGCTACCAACTGCAATGTTTTAAGCCAATGCAAATAAGAAAGAAAAACTTGAGATGAATATGAATCCAGTAGTTTTTTAACCTGTAAAAGTCGAATTTGAATTTATGGCACTTAATTCAGATTAGGCCACTGGAAAATTCATCATTTTCCAATACGATATAATGCTACGCCAGGCACTGTGGCTCATGCTTGAAATCCCAGCACTTTGGGAGGCCAAGGCAGGAGGATCGCTTGAAGGCAGGAGTTCGAGACCAACATGGGCAACATAATGAGACCTTGTCTCTACAAAAAAATAATTAAAAAATTAGCCAAGTGTCTCAGGAGGCTAAGGTGGAAGGATCGCCTGAGCCCAGGAAACTGAGGCTACAGTAAGACGTGAGCATGCCACTGCACTCTAGTCTGGGTGACAGAGTGAGACAGTGACTCAAAGAAAAAAAAATGCTTTGCATACAGTTGTCACAATTCTCTGTTTTAGGTAGTTAGAAAATTGTGGGAATGTAAATATGTGGAAGGAGACTAATGAATAAGGCTTGTTTACAGATTCCTCTGGTGCTGTCCTTGGGGTAGTAAGAGTCCAGAGTTGTCCCCTGTGAAGGAGAATTTACATTCTGTCTTTAGGCAGAGAAAGGGTAAGGATTGAAAAAGCTTTTCCTCCATTTGCTGCTGCTTAACTGCCTTTAGCTCAGAAATAATTTTGATATCAAAGAGGTGTATTTTGGGGCGATGTATTATAGTTTCCTTGGAGCGGTTATTTTTTATTTTACTCCTCTGGCTCCATTCTTTTCTCAATTTTCCTAATTCTGGTTTTTAGGATTCATTCATCAGCCTGTTGTTTTCTTATTTTTCATGTAGTCAGAGAATGTCTTTTCTTTTTCCTTCTGTCATTGCCCCTCCCAATATTCCCATGGAATCTTTTATGTTGTGCCAGGCACTAATAAGGTCTATATAAGTTGTCTCTAATTTTTTAGCTATGAGGTAGGGTGGCCATATTCCCATTTTGTGGGTAAGTTAAACTGACATAACAGAAAGTAACTTGCCTAAATTCACACAACTGGAATTGTGAAGCTGGGATTCTAATTCAGCTTTGATTCTTAACAATCCTTGGTTTTTTTGTTTTGTTTTGTTTTTTTAGGCGGAGTCTCACTCTGTAGCCCAGGCTGGAATACAGTGACATGCTCATAGCTACCTCATCCTTGACCTGCTGGGCTCAGGTGATCCTTCCGCCTCAGCCTTCCAAGTATCTGGAACCACAGGCATGTGCCACCACATGCTTGGCTGAATGATTCTTGATTTTAAAAACTAATATAGTGCCTGTTAGCATCTTAGATTCATTATATCCAAAACTGCACTCTTCTGAGTGGGATCCTCTCCTGATGTTATTGTTTATCTTGTTGTTTATCTTTCACTTATTGCCCTTTTGCTTCTCAGTCTGTCCTGTTAGGTTTTCGTGAGGAATTTCAAATTTCTACTTCTACTCTCAAGTTCAGCTCATTATTGCTAGTTTATCTCATAGTGATTCAAATTCATGTTTAATAAAGACAGGGTGGAAGTTTTAAAATCTGACCTTTGAGATCTTTACCATCTGTTGTTGATCTCTTTCTTAAACTCCTCTCCGAAATTCAAATACATTACTCTCTTTGTGTTTTTAATTCTTCCTGTTTTTAAAATACTTTTTGGCAGTAATGAGAGCAGTGGGGTATAAGGGGAGGCACATAACATAAGTAAGTGTACCCAATCTCAAACCAGTGAAGTGGGGACCAATGGGAGGCCCAGACTTTACCTATCCGATGACCACTTATGTACCTAACCCTGTATGTACCCCACACCTCGAGAATACAAAAATTTTTTAAAATGCTTTTTATTTTACCTTCATTGAAATCTGAAGTCCAGTCACATAGTCTTGATTATTATCCGTAAAAGATTGCTTTTTTTCTGAACATTTCTGTTTATAATCTCATTTGGCCTCTAGTAATGTACAAGGCGGGCCCAAAAAACCTGGAAATTTTAAATTGTCTTCATTCTTACATTTTTAAGCTTCAGTCACCTTCAAAGTACTCTCTGATGCAATACGCCTATCGAGACACTTTTTTTGCTGCTCAAAACAGTTTTTGAACTCGTCAGTTTTGATGCCTTTTAGTATTTCTGCCATTTTTGTTTCACCTTTTCTACATGGGCAGAACATTTGCCTTTGAGAACTTTTTTCATCGGGGAAACCAAAAAAATAATTACTTAGGGTAAGATAGGGTGAATAGGGAGCGTGGTGTACAGAGGCCATGCTTTTTTGGTAAAACAAAACAAAACAAAACCAAAAAACGGTATGAGCCAGTGTGCTTATAAATCACCCATAATGAAATGGGCAAACACGTTGAAAAAAATCTCCAAAAAAAAATTTATTGAAGCTGAACACAGCCTCTCACAACAATGCTAGCTGACCTTTTGATGCGAATGTCCTTTAACACTTAACTAGTAGAGAAGGCTGTACTACAAGAGGCCCGCCCTCTAAAAGATAATTTCAATTTTGGGGGGCCCCCCTTGTACTGCTTTGTATTTCTGGTTAACAGTTCATATCTATATATTTTTTTCTTCCAACTGAATTGTAATTTCCTTGAAGTCAGAGTTAACTCTTACACTTTGCTGTAGCTCCCATGTTCAGCACCTGGCTTAGTGCTTGAAACATTTTAGGTGATTGAAACATTGAAAGAATGGTACTATTACTTTGATCTTATCTTTTTAGTAGGCTCTAGAAAAAAATTGATAATAAATATTACTTATAGAACTTAAATCACCATGGAGCTAACTTGGAAGTAACCTCTTCAAGTATTATATTGAAGAGATTACATAATTTAATAGTTTATTGTGTGTTTCAATCTTTTATTTTAAAAAATATTATTTTTCTTAAATTATTACTCTTCTTTTTCTTTTTTGCTTTTTGGCAGCCGGTACGAAGACAGTCTCTTACTCCTCCTCCCCAAAACACTATTACGTGGGAAGAATATATATCTGCTGAAAATGGAAAGTAAGTGGTTTCTTTGGTTTTTACATAGAATAATTTGTAAAAACTGAATATGTGAATATTTAGGTTTAATGATTTTTTTAGACAGAATCATTGGTATGTTTTTGTCTGAAGCAGTTAATGAGGGCAGTGTCCCAACTTTCATACCCTCTTTGCCTAAGGTTGTATAGTGCCTTCTTTTTATATTTCTCATGCCACTTTGCATACACCAAAAAAACTGAAGGACACTGTTCTAAGGAAATGGAATGTAGAGAATTGCCCGATGCAGTTGCTTGTTTGAGATTTCCCATTGTATGATGAACTTCTGTGTTTCGTGATGATTCTGATTTATTAGTGTAGTGTGTAAGACCCTTCACTATTTGTCTCTTCTTTGCCTTTCCAAATTAACCTTTTATCATTGTGCTTTGTTACAGCCTGTTAGATGACTTCTCACCATCTTTCCATAGGACCTTTACTTAATGTTATAATACTAAAACTTAGTAGAGTACCTAATACTTGGTTCATACTCAGCACATATTTATTGACTAGAATAATCATGAACAAATAAAGGGTTTATTTTGAATGAATGAATGAATAAAACATTTATTCTGGATTACTTCCTTTTTGTAGAGAAAAATATTACCCCCTCCTGCTTAAGTTGTCATTGTTTTCTTACTGAATGGTTTATTTCATTTTTCTAAATTCTCAAAGATGTATCCATTTTAATACTTTATAGTGTTAAACAAAATTTATAAGAGACCATTGTTTTGGACTAGCCTCCTGCACTAGGCCCCAGCAGACCAGACCAAACCAGAATGTAGTCACTTCTGCTGAGTACCACATAATCAAGCTGACCTTTGAAATGGGCTGGTTTTCCAAAAATCAGGAGATTCTGGTCATCTCTGTTTTAATTTTATAAAGCAACTTCGAAATGAGCAGATCACTTTATGTTGCTTATTTCTGCTTTCTTCAGCCCTTTTCAGTCTATGAAGGCATTTCCTTTGCTCAACTTATTGGAACACTCATTCTGTTATTTAGAACAAGATATTGCCCTATGCTAGAATGGCAAATATAAGCCAATTTGACCCTTAAATTTGTTGTAATTTTCTTTTGACAGCAGTTCATATAAAATTCCTTCTTCTTTATTCTGCACAGTACTTACTGATCAATGCTGAGACTGTAGTAGGCAGTAAAGGAGGTTGAATAAGTGGCTTTATAGGCATGCAATGATACTTTGATCATGGTATAGTGATTTTCTAGTTTTTTTGTGTGAATTTTTTCCTAGTGATTTTCTTTGTTCATTTTTTTTTTTTTTTTGGAGTCTCACTCTGTTGCCTAGACCGGAGTGCAGTAGCCACTCCTGGCCACCGCAGCCTCGACCTGCTGGGCTCCGGCAACCCTTCCGCCTCAGCCTTCCAAGTAGCCGGAATTACAGGCATGCGCTACCACGCCTGGCTGATTTTTTTTATTTATTGTAGAGATGAGGTCTCACTGCCCAGATGGGTCTCGAATCCGCGGGTTCAGGCAATCCACTCACCTCAGCCTCCCAAAGGCGCGGGATTACAGGCTGAGCCACCGAGCCCGGCTGTTCTGTTATTTTTTTTCTGAACTTTTACTCTTTGCTGTTTCCTTTTTTTGTTACCATTGTCTCATTTCTTATACACATCTTATTCCTTTTTAGCATAATTTTAATTTACTTCTCTCATAGACATTAAGAACACTTGAAATATTAATGAATATCTTTGAAAGACAACAGATTCTTCTTAGGAAGGTGATAGACTATGGAAGATGTTTCCTAACATTTTCTTCTTTCTTTTTCCATTTTAGAGCTCCTCATCTGGGCAGAGAATTGGTGTGCAAGGAGAGTAAGAAAACATTTAAAGCTACCATAGCCATGAGCCAGGAATTTCCCTTGGGGATTGAGTCGTAAGTTTGTTACTAACTGTAAATGTATGTGACAGAAGCTATTAAAGCCTGAAGGCTATGGTAATAGTATTTGCATCTAAGTGGCACATTTGAGGCCGTTGAAATATAAAAGCAGCAGGGTGTGGTGGTGCACACCTGTAGTCCCAGCTACTTGGAAGGCTGAGGTGGAAGGATTGCCTGAGCCCAGCAGGTCAAGGCTGCGATGGCTGTGAATGTGCCACTGCACTCCAGCCTGGGTAACAGAGTGAGACTTTGACTCAAAAAAAAAGAAAAGAAATATAAAAGCAAATAGCCATTGCCTTGTAGAGTATGCCCTCTTCCAGAAATTTTCTGGTTCACAAAAGTAGTAATTTTTACTATTTCACCAGTTAAATTTTTGAATTAAAAAAAAAAAAATGATGGAAGTAATACATGAATAATGCTTTGTAAAAAAAGTCTAAAAGTGTGGAAATTTATAGCATAAAATGTGAACTTTTTTTAATAGTTAATGACTGGTGTATTTTTGTCTAGACTTAGCTGTGTTTTTGCAGTTTTTTTTTTTTTTTTTTTTTTTTTAGTAGGGGCATAAGTCCATTTTTGTTCCTTGTTTTCTTTTTTTTTTTGAGTAGGAGTCTCACTCTGTTGCCCAGGCTGGAATGCCGTAGCATGCTCACTGCAACAGCAACCTGTCCCTGCTGGGCTCAGGTGATTCTTCCGCCTCAGCCTTCCAAGTAGCTGGACACACAGGCGTGTGCTACCACATCTGGCTAATTTTGTGATTTATTTTAGAGATGAGGTCTCACTAAGTTGTCCATGCTGGTCTCAAATCCCTGGGCTCAGGCAATCAATCCTCTTGCCTCTGCCTCCCAAAGTGCTGGGATTACAGGCACGAGCCACCGCGCCTGGCCCTTGTTTTCTTTTAAAAGTGAGTTTATCTTGAAGTTTTATAGTAATGATATTTTTGTTTAATTTTTCTTGGTATTTTGCAATATTGATAGACCATCATTTATTTCATTATTCCCCTGCTGATAAACGTTGGTTATTTATAGTTTATCACCATTTTAAACAATCTTTCAGTGAAGATCTTGAATATATCCTTTCAAGCCTGTACTTATGAGATGCTCCTTTTAAAAACAATTCAGTTTGGAGAGACAGTGGATCAGGAGGTGGATAGGTAGCTGTAACCACTTGATAAAACTGTAGGTTTAGGCTCCTTACTAAAGGAGGATGGAGGGCATGAGTTGAAGCCCCTGGTTATTTTCTCTTACCTAGTTCCTTTCCTTCCCTTTCAAACCTGGCTTAATACATTAAATTAAGAATCTAAAAATCGAAACTATCCTAATACATTTAAAGCATTCTCTAAGAAGAGAGCAGAACCCATATTTTTCAAAAAAGTTTGGAACATATAGCATACTCCCTGGCCTTGCCTTGTACCTAAGCTTTAGAAAAGGAGACAGGGTCTGGGCACAGTGGGTCACGCCTATAATCAATCCCAGCACTTTCGGAGATTTGCTTGAGCCCAGGAGTTCGAGACCAGCCTAGGCAACTTAGTGAGATCTGGTCTCTTTAAAAAAAAAACAGCTGGCCTTGCGGGCTCGCACTGGTAGTGCCAACTAATCAGGAGGCTGAAGTGAGAGGAGAGCTTGAGCCTAGAATGTCAAGGCCAAGGGGAGCTGTGATCATGCCACTGCACTCCAACCTAAGCGACAGAGTGAGACCCCAAATTTAAAAAAAGATCAGTGAAAGACAGAATGTTGTAGATAGCTCTCAAATTAGGTCAGAGAGAGATAAGTCTCAGAAAATGTGGAGTTTGCCACAGATACAAACCTGCTATAGTTCATCATGTCTAAAACCCATTTGACTCAGACATCCACCAATTTTATATTTTGCTTACTAATAAAGATGCAGCTTTATTTTGTGTTAAGCTAATTTTAAGATACCATTAATTTAGGAGTTAGCCTAATTTTAGATATGTTATGTGAAAAAAAATGGGTGCCAAAGCAGTTATAAAATGTGACGGTTATAACTACTGCTCCTGAAAAAAAAATGAAATAAGGACCACAAGATGCAAATATAAAAGAATTCATCCATTCTAAAATAAAATGTCAAAGAACAGAAGAAAAATTCTTGTAAATACTGTAGAAAAACAAAAAAGAACACAAAATTAGTAAATTAGATAATTCTTTTTTTTTTTTTTTTTTTGTGAGTTGGAGTCTCACTCTGTCACCCAGACTGGAGTGCAGTGGCCACTTCCAGCCACCGCAGCCTCGACCTGCTGGGCTCTGGCGATCCTTCCGCCTCAGCCTTCCAAGTAGCTGGAACTACAGGTGCGTGCTACCATGCCCGGCTAATTTTTTGACTTTTTGTAGAGATGAGGTCTCGCCTGCCCAGGCGGGTCTTGAACCCACAGGCTCAGGCAGTCCACTCACCTCAGCCTCCCAAAGGCGCGGGATTACAGGCTGAGCCACCGAGATAATTCTGAGATGGTAAGGTAGAGTGAAATGAAAAGGAAATTGTAAAGCTAAGGAAATAATTTGAGCATTAAACAGCACTATTACAAAACAAATACACTAGAAACAACAATGAACAAAATAGATATGACCAAACATTAGATTTTGACAGCACATAGTGAATGCAGTAGAAAAGATTAAAGAAATCGTAGACTATGTACAGTGACTCAGACCTGTAATCCTAGGACTTTGGGAGGCTGAAGTGGGAAGATTGCTCGAGTCCAAAAGTTTAAGACCAGTTTGGTCAACATAGTGAGAAACTGTCTCTATAGAAATTAGCTGGGTGTGGTAGTGTGCGCCTGTAGTCCCAGCTACTTGGAAGGTTGAGATGGGAAGATCACTTGCGTCTAGGAGGTCGAGGATGCCATGAGCTGGAATTGGGCCATTTCATTCCAGCCTTGGTGCTGGGTGACAGAGTAAGACCCTGTCTCCAAGAAAAAAAAAAGAAAAGGAAAAGAAACAATATACATTATATAGAGGACAAAGATTGTTTACTATAAGAGTCAGTGCTGCCTGGGCATGGTGGCTCAAGCCTATAATCCCAGCACTTTGGGAGGCCGAGGCAAGAGGATTGCCTGAGACCTGTGGGTTCGCGACCAGACTGGGCAACATGGTGAGACCTCATCTCTACAATAAGTAAAAAAATTAGGTTGGCATGGTAGCATATGCCTGTAGTTCCGGCTATTTGGAAGGCAGAGGTGGAAGAATCATCTGAGCCCAGCAGGTCGAGGCTGCGGTGGCCTGGAGCGTGCCACTGCCCTCTAGCCTGGGTGACAAGAGTGACACTCAAACTCAAAAAAAAAAAAAAATAGACAGACATGGTGGCACATGCCTGTAGTTCCAGCTACTTGGGTGACTGAAGTGGAAGGATTGCCTGAGCCCAGCAGGTTGAGACTGCGGTGGCCATGAGCATTCCACTGCACTTCAGCCTGTGTGACAGAGTGAAACTCCAACTCAAAAAAAAGTCTTTGGTGTGTCACTTAAATAGGAAGCATCCAAAATGCAACCCAAATAGTATTCAAAATATGATAGAAGAATGTTTTTCTGTAATGAAGAGTGGAGTATGTAAGATAAATTAGATTTTAAGGAAAATTGGCACAGAGTGGTGATGAAAATTATGCTGGGTAAACTTAATTGTTAATAAAGAAATCTAAAGGCATCTAGACAGAAAATGAGTAAAATTAGCCTGACCTTAACATTATTTCATACATCTTGACATTTCTGAAGCAATGAAAGTGTAATCTGGTTGTATGTCCACCATCATTTATGTATCAAGGCAACTGAAGATATTCTCAAACATAAAATAATTCAAGAAATGTATTAGCCATAGGCCCTTTTTAAAGAAAAATAATACAACCTAAAAATGAAATCCATCCAGTCAGAAGATGAAAGAAATTGTAGTATAATGACTAGTATAATACTAAATGCTAACAGATAGTATGAAATTGTAGTACATAGGGAACGATAATATAACCTGAAATTTTATGTGACTCAGATTTCTCTTTAGGACAAGAACACTTATTTATCAAATAACCAAATCAGAAAATATTAAGCACATGAGAGCCTTTCACACATGATACATTGATTGTGAAAATGAGCCACCCAAACATTGTGTCCAATTGAAGAACTCAGAAATGTGTAGATTTCAGGAAGAAGAAAGTGTCAGCCTTGAATCCGTTTAAATATTGACCTAATAATCAAGAAACTGTGGAAATTAGGGTTCCACAGTCAAAAGCTATAAAAGTATAAAGTACCTTTAAAGAATAAAAAGAATAATAAAAAAATTAGGAGACAGAAGTTATGTCATCCTTAATATCTGGAACTCAGTACTGCTGTCTAAGTTTAAAGCCTGTCGTTAAAAAAGCAGCATAAGGACACAAAGCAGTTTGAAAAATGAAAACATTTTTTCTTCCATTTTTCAGATTATTGAATGTTTTAGAAGTAATAGCTCCCTTTAAGCACTTTAACAAGCTTAGAGAATTTGTTCAGATGAAGCTTCCTCCGGGCTTTCCTGTAAAATTAGGTAAGAGAAAAATTTAGATGTAATTTTAGTGTCTGTCAGAAGTATGAAACTGTTTATTAGCATTTAATAAGAGACTTCTTTTAAAGGAAAATAGATTTCCTGGTTTTTACATTTTGGTAAAGACGTTCAGTCCTATGAATTGGTATTTACGTTTTGTCAAATATATTAAGTACCTGATGAGAATTCTAATTCTGCTTGATTTAAATGAAATGTAAGTGTATATCTAACCCTGAATTGTTCTCCACGTTTTAAAAATTAAATAAATAAATAAATGGAATGTATATGAAAATATTTCATACAAGAAGATGTGGGTGCACTAATGGTACACTGTAATAATGTTTTAAAAGTGAAATCAGGAGACTGAGTTTCTGTATAGTGGGAATGATTCTGGAGTCAGTAGTCACTATTCATGGATCAAGTAATACTCATACATTTTGTTTTTCAGACTTAAATGTTTAAACTTAATTTTATCTTAAACAGTGATCTTT